TTTACCTAAAAGACTATATTGTACCCTTAAGTTTGTAATTTATTAAAGCGTAATTAAGTTTGTTTACTATGACCAAAAAATATGATTTGCTACTTGAAAATAAAACAACAAAATCATCAAAATTATTAATTAAAATTATTTTTTTTTAATGATTATTGGAGCCTTGGTTTTCAAGTGCATAAAATTCCGGTTTCTAATCATGAGTTTTATTAATTTTTAAAGCCCTATATGTACCTAGACGTTTCATAAGCGCAGAAAAGTTTAATAGTATATTATATATATTATTAATACCATACTTTATCTACTCCAATAAGTAGATAATTAAATGGTCATGGTTTATATATTAAGGCCTTTATACTATTAAAATAAAAAATTCTCCACAAGGGTCAAAAACTAATGACTGATATTTGGATCACTTTTAAAATTCTATTTTTAATTACCTACTGAAAATTTCGGTGACACATTATATTTAAAATGATACCTTTTATTTTTTAAACTCAAATAGGTTAACATCGGATTCGTTTTAAATACTTATTTTTTTAGTTGGCTTTAATCATTATAATATATTAATATTTAAATATTATATAAAATTATATTGTGAGCTCAAAAAGTCGTAATAATAATAATAATTAATTTATTTTATGTAACATAGAAAACACACAAAAATAAATACAAAAAGGTCATATTATTTCAAATAAAATTTATTTCTTGCTTCAAATTTCTTTCTTAGTTTTACTTTGCTTATAATATTATCACAATTACTTTTTAAGGAACTAGAATGCAAATGGCAATTAAAAAAATGCGAAAACATATATTTAGGTGTTATTTTAATAAAGACAATATTATAAGATGGCTGGGTCACAATTCCGGTTTTATGCTCCATTAATGGCCAGACTTGCTTGTTATGACCAATTCGATTATCCACCAAAGAAACATTTTCCATCAACCGGGTTATACATTTTCAGTAAAATTTAATTTAATTTTGGTTTTATAATTAAGATTACAATAGACAACGTTTATGGTTAACAAACACTTTTTTTCACTCCCACCTTTAATCGTAGGTACATGTAAGTGACCTTGACAAGTTGTGGCTTTAGGGCGTTTTAGTTCGCAACAGGTTTTTAGTCACGGGCTGAAGTTAGTTTTAAGTTAGTTTACAGTTGTCATACAATTCTTAAAATAAATTGCCGTTCTTGTAAAGTAATACTAAATGTGAAAATTATTTTATTATCTCAATACAAAAATACAAAAGTATTAAATAGTTTCTTAACCACAAAATTTGAAAAGATTGTATGAACGTTTGTAATGACCTTTTGATTTTGCCGTAGGGATAAATTTTGATTTACATAGAAAAATTTGAGATTTTAACGCTGGTAGATTCTCAAGTTTAAAATTCTAACGGGAATTCCAATAAATACAACTGTCACTTTTTGTACCTTTAACATTTCCCGTGTAACAATTTTAAATACTTTGTGATAATATATTGCAATTTTAGTAATAAAAATATTTTTTTAACCTAATCATATTTTAAAATTATTTAAATATTTTAAAGTAGTAACTTTTTAATTCAAAATAAATATCAATTTTTTTCTTTTTTACTGTATTATATAAGGATAATTAAGTATAATTAACTATACTGCAAAAATGATAATTTTTAAATGCCTTTTTAGATGTTCATTTGCCGAAATAACCCAATACTTTTTTATTGCAAAAAAATATTATTTTTTTTATTTTTTACTTTGTTAAATAAGGCTTATAACGTATAATTAACTATATTTTAATTAAAAAACATTACGGTTTTTATTTTTTAAATGCGTTTTAGATGGTCCTAGAGCATTAATTGAGGAAATATACAAAAGACTTTTTTATTGGATTTTTTTTTATATTTTTTACTGTTTTAAATAGGACTTAATAGGTATAATGAACTATATTTTAATAATAAAAAATAAATGCCTTTTTTAGAATAGTTTTTAACTTTAAAGATGCAAAACAAGGGATTATTAATTAATTTGTAAAATACATGTTGAAATAAATAAAAAATCATAACTTTTCCATATGTGCGTATATGCAGCTAATTTTTGTGTACTTATAAAGTAAAGTTTACTGAACAACCTCATGTAGATATCAACGTGGAAATCGGATGCCTATATGAATTTTTTTTCTCTTAATTTTACCAATGTGTCTTTTAATTTTTATTTTTTTATTCAAATAAGAATTTTTACTAAAAAAATAAACAGTTTATTAAATGTGTGCGTAATTTTTAGTCAATTTTACTGTTTTAAAAACATTCTAACAAAAAATCAAAACATGATTATTTAAAAATAATTATTTACCAAAATCCATTGCTTTAAGATGTTTTAACAAATTATCGTCATAGAAATACCCATAATAAAAACTTAAAAAAGATAAAGTATATATGGCACTTTAGTGTTGCGCACTAAGAATATAGTTTCCCTCTATTGTTTGATAGATGTCGCTCTATACAAATATTTAATTTAAATCAATTTTATAAGTATGATAATAATAATAATAATAAGTATTTTTAAATAAAATAAATTTTAAATTTGCTATCAAACTTGATAATAATATACTATTTTTATTTAGTCAATAATTTAATCATTAAATGAAATAATAAACAATTTTGGTTTTGATCATTTCTGATAGACCTCATCTGGATAGATGTACCATTTATGGAATGCCTAGAAAACTCCTTATAATTTGTAAAAAAAATATCCAACAAATGGCCACCAAGATCGTGTGATTTAACGCCGTGCGACTTCTTCTTGTTGGGTCTGTGAAGTATTTAATATATGCCAGTATATTAACAATTCTTAAGCTTAAAGATGAAATAATATTTAAAAATGTATTTAGAAACTTTTTTAAATGGAGGTTCTATTTGACGATGTTTTTCACTTTAAATTGAAGTTGTTGGGGTACAATTTAAAATCAATGTGCGTTGTGAGCGTCTTGCACTTGGTGTCTGGTGTACGTACGGAGGTTGTAACCACCGGCACTACCCGACGCGTCGCGGCGCCTTTACTTCATTGCTTCTTAGACATAAATTATTCGTGCATCTCGGCTAATAGCAACGCGGCGCGGGCATGGGGCGCATCACGGATTGTCGTTAAAGCACACCCGTGCCAAACGGCTTCTCTAACGAGATAGCAGCCGAAATTATGCCATCGTAGCACCCTTCCTCAAAAAATACTCCAGCTGATATCTGACACTAACAAAAATACGGTCATTCTTAATGGCCGAAACTTTTATTTATCGCCGCGCGCTTCTTAATTAATTTTCATTTTCTCAAACATTCCTAACACTTGCGCCATTACCAGAACTCCTTTAATTGCCCTTCAGACACCAGAAATCATTCTTGTCTTTCTGGTATAATCCATATTTTTCTTATTTGACAAAAGCTCGATGCTGGTAATTTACCTCATCTGGCTAGATGTTTAGATGAAATAAGCATGTTGTAACAGTATGAAAACGCACACAGACAGATAAAATAATTTATAAAAGAGCTTTGTTATATTAAGGGTTAATTAAAGACCAGTCCTTTTTTTATTTTAAAGAGAGCAATTGGCTTTGCGGCTGAAAAAAGTATAGTTAAGCGTGGAGTGAGCATGGAATGCAAATTCCGCCAATAACTAGGAAGGCTCATCAAGTCGACTGCAAAAAATCACAAAACAATGAATTGATATTTTAAAAATAATTGTTTTATAGTATACGAGGTGTGTTCAGAAAATATCAGGAATTTTCGTTTTTTCAAACGTCTACATTAATGTTGTCGCCTTCAAAATAGTCCCCATTCGATATTATGCACATGTGCCAGCTCTTCTTCCAATACTGAAAACACTTCTAAAACTCGATCTTTGGGATAGCCTTTTAATGTCATCTATGCTTGCAAAACGACGGCCCTTTAAGGTTCTCTTTATTTTTGGGAATAGGAAAAAGTCAGACAGAGGCATGTCTGGCGAATATGGAGGCTGGGGCATCATTACAGTATTGTTTTTGGCCAAAATTTTTTTTCAAAATTTAACAATTTTGCTGCCACGTGTTTCATACCCAAAACATTCGAAAAAATTTTATGGGATGAGCCAATCGATGTACCAACATCATCAGCGACTTCTCTGATGGTTTATAACCATTTCTTCCACTTTTTCCATGTTTTTATCGGTTGTTAATGTGCTTGTGCGTTCGGGTCGTTCGTCATATTCAACGTCTTCACGGCCACCTTGGAAACTCTTATACCACTTGTAAACCATTGTTTTACTTATATAGGCCTTTGATGACATTTCACAGAATTTATTTCATTTTTTAAGCAAAATTGGATACAAATTCTTTGATCCATTTATTTTAACGAACGAAAAATCGCCGAGCTCATAAAGCACGTCTAACCTTAGCGGCTGCCACAGACAAAGTAAACAATGAAAACAGCTAAAGTTTTTATCATACTTCGGGGGCATGTATACCAACATAATAAAGAAAATTTTATGACAACCGGACCCTCCGAACCCGCGAAATTTAACAATTCCCGTTATTTTCTGAACACACCTCGTAGAAGCAGTTTTTCACACGGCCATTCCAAGCCCATGGACAGGACACATCAGAAACATGTCTAAATATATTCTTGTTACTTCCTTAAGTTTACTTATTTTTTCTACGAGTATTTATGAGAAGTATTAGCCAAATTTGGCTAATACTTCTCATAAATACTCGTAGAAAAAATAAGTAAACTTAAGGAAGTAACAAGAATATATTTAGACATGTTTCTGATGTGTCCTGTCCATGGGCTTGGAATGGCCGCACAGTTAAAGTAAAGAGAATGTTTAATGGGCATTGTACGCAAAAATTTTAACGCTTTATCAGTTAAATCTTGTTTACTGCACTACTACGGCCAAATAAAAAGATCAGTACAAAACATGCAAAATCTAAAATTTGTTCAATGTGACAATTTTATTTAAACTTTTATCTAATTAATTCATTATTTTCTTTTGCAGACATTGAAGAAATGTAATAATGTTTTTTTGCGCAACCGATCGAATGTCTTTGGCTACCACCTTGATCCTCCTAATTAATTTCCTCATTTTCGGTAAGTACACTTTTTAAATTTTTTTTGCAAATATGACATTGTTTAGTAAGTACCATCATGAAAAGAGTATGGGGTCATGAGGCTGCTTGTTTTGAGAAAATAATTTTGCTTTATTAGGAGAAATTGCATGTGCCAAGTGAATGTGGGTCTTTTTGGGACCCCCTCGTAGTTAAAAATAGGGGATCTCAAAGCTCAGCTCTCTTAAGTTTTGGTAATAATAAAATCCGTATATGAAAAGAGAATCCAACAGTTGAAAGTTATTAACAAGTTGGGTGTTGGGACGTCTGTTCTCTCGATCCGTTTGAAAGATAAAACCGCGTTTAAGACGCTTGAGGGTCCATAAGAAACTATAAAACAGTTTTTGAAAACATTTTTGTCGCAATACAATGCGGTTGCGTCTCCGCCTTGCCATAGGGTAAAAATATTAAGTCGCCTTGATCCTGTTAAAATATATAGGGTACTTGCGGGTCGGCTCTAAAAATAATAAAGCCCTTCTTGAAAATGTAAAGCCAACAATTCACGTATAACCACTATTGACTCATACACGAACTTCTCAAATTTAAGATTATGGGAAAAAATCTTTACAAGAAATATTTTTGCACAAATTACTGATGCAGCTTTTACATCAGACTTATCTCCTTCAGACTTTTACCTGTTCCAATCTCTTCAACATCATCTGACAGAAGTTTTTGTTTTTATCTGGAACTCGACATTGGCCTGAAAAGAAGAATCTAAAATGTATAGAATATGAAGAATAATAATTAATTTTTTAAGTTGTGCAAAACTGATTTTCACCGTTTTCATTTCAATCATCCTGGGATGAAAAAACTAATCGAATGTAAGTTGAAGAGTAGCAAGGAATAGAATATTTTATAATTAAATGTTAAATTCGAGCATTAACAAATGTGCCCTTTTGCAAGACGAAAAGGAGCAAGAAAATTTATAAAAGCAAATTGCACATTACAAGAAAAGTAATATATTGCTATGGCAGTGAAATAATAAGTAAAATGTTTTTGAAACAGTCATTTATTTTGCTGGTCGTTGTATTTTGCTGCGTTAATTTCTCCAAATACGTACGGTAGAGAAAGGCTGCGATAAGGAAAACAACAATAAGTTTTCACTGTCTTATCTTTAAAGTGGCTGCCGTTTTCAGTGTTGACACTAGTCAAGTGGATTCATTACAACACTTCTCATAATTTCATAATCCTTTCTATTCCAGCCAAATTATACTGCACACTAAGCAAGTTTCGCTATAACAAAAATCTACTAATTTACAAACTTTACTCTATTATTTTAAGAATCAGATATCCAAGTATTTTTATCAGACAAAATGGTATATTCTCTCGATATTTATTTTGGGGCACATTAGTCTTGGACGTCAGGATTGGTCCTGGAGGATCAGGATCAGGATTGCATTGCGGGACATCCCCTTTACTGTTGATACTATTTTAAGCTTGAATAAAGATTTCAATTAAAAAACAACAACAAAATGCCTATTCGTACTCCTTTGATCTTGGCAATTGATTGAACATGTACATTTGATACATACTTTGTGTATGAGGCCATTAAAATTTTTATAAAATATAAAATGACAATAAACAGTAAATATCTTTATATTGAATGATTGATTTAATAACAAAGTTGAATTACCAACAGTGGCGGCCCGTGACATTTAATTTTGATGATGCAGAGGCGAAGAAATTTTTTTAAACCCAACTTAAAAAAACTGACGTCGCAGTGCACAACCTATACTTAAAACTAAGTAAAAAATATCAGTACAATTTCAATTAACTAAACCCACAGAATAAACCACTTACAAAAGAATTATAAAATAAACAAACTCATAGAAAAAGAATAATAAAATGTTGCGTAAATAACCACAGATTTGTCCTTTAAACAGTTCAGAATTTTATAACCAAAACAAACCTAAAGAAGGAATCTGTATTTATTTTATTGGTTACTGTGATGGCTACAAGATGGCGATAGAGTTAAAATATGTTTATTTTAGAATAGAAATATAATTTCGATTCAATCGATTTATTATAAGAATAATAATACCATTTATTATTGAATTTTGAAAAACGTATAATTTATTTAAAATTCCGCAACAGTGTTGTCACAACACCTGCTTATTTCCTTGGATGTAGGCGTGCCTGCCTCGCGTATGCTAATACGAGAGAAGGAGTCAACTATGATATCGCATTGTAATAGAACGAGACAACAAGGCTAACGCCAATCGTGAGTCTAAATTAGTTCAGGCATGCTTCTGAGCCAATCATCTTAGTTTAAATTGCGATCGTTTCAAATTCAAATAATTTAAATGTTGCTGGGTATTCCACGTATAAAATCTCTATGATGAGGCACTGCCTCACCTGCCTCCCCTAACGGGCCGCCACTGATTACCAATCGATAAATTTATTTATAACTTTCAACCTTTTTGTTTGTCTTTATTTGAATTTTCTTATGATAGTGTTAAAAAAATCTGAGGGGGCCAAGTCTGGTGAACACGCTGTCTTTGTTTCTGTAAACGATGGAAAACAGTTAAAATATATGTTTGGCGTGTGTATTTATTTTGGTTCGTATCAAACAAGAGCTTAGCGTCTGTTAGCATTAAGTGTTTAGCAGAGAAGATGAGGAAGAAAAAGTTAAGAGGTATAGCCGAGATACGTCGGTTCTTTATTCGGTTTTTGTTGGCAATAATCAAGTGAGTTGTAATGAGCCGGTTTCAGTTTTGGCCTGGATGATCCATTAGAGAGGAGAAGTCAATTTATTTGATGGCTTCGCTAATCTCGATGTCCTAATGTGTTCTGTGCTCCTCGGAAATAAAGGCAAACGACTAGGTGGGATGTCAGTAGATTTGACGGCAACGCTAACGTGCAATGGCTTAAATCAATTCAGTAGCAGTCATCAGTCAGACGTGATTATCCTAAAAGACATTCGGCGCGAATCTTAGTCAGCACTCGTTAAATGCTCTGATAAGTGATTATCCCTCTTTTACACCGAATCTGCCTCGGGCAGACTTCTCCACGTTCACTGCAGAACACCACAAATTTAAACGGACTAAATACACATTTTTAATCTTCTTTATGTACACAGGGTGTCCGGAAAATGTCGTTGTGAGCATAAAAAGTACATTTTTTTCTGTTTTCAATAAGAGTGATAGATCTTTAAAGTGAAATGGATGACATGGATCTGTAAAAAGCAAAACCGTTAAAATAATGTCATTTAGTTCATTAATATCGAAATTTGTGGAAAATAATTTGCGGTTTCAGCAAATTTTTTGCCAATGCGGTAATGGAATAACATCTACATAGGAAAAAACTGCGCGGTAATTAGGGCCTTTGGAAAGTTTTTCGGTAGCATTGTTGATAAACCGGCGTAGCTTAAAGTGAACTGGGCATATGATTAATGTGGCTGTGTGATTGCCAAAGTTACACAGTCACGTTTCGGCATAGATCCTTCCAACAACAGTCAGGCACTAGTGCCAGCCGACGTTTTTACAATAATCAACAAGTTGAGTAACACGTACACCTAATATAGTTTGCTCTCCAACACGTCTTAATCCAAAATATTGAGCATTCACTTCACTAATCTCCTCTCTTGCAAATAACCTTTTAAGTATGTACAGGGTGCACAGCAGTAGTAGTCATTTTGTGAAATGAGAAATACACAATCATTTTTCAGACATTTTTTATTTATTGTTGAAGCCTTAGACCTTCTTTAGTCTTCTACATTATCGTGGCAAGTGAAAAAACCTTGAAATCTATAAAAGTTTTATGGATTTCGAGAAGGAATTTAATTCAGTTAAACGGAAAAGAATGTGGAATAGTCTAAGGTTACGAAAGGATGCTTTATGAAGAGTATATAGATATAGAACATAAAGGAAAACTTTCTGACGAAATTAGACTAGAAAAGGAAGTTTGCCAAGGCTATGGGATGTCAACCTTACTCTTCATAATAATTATGGATTGGGTTATTGAAAGAACAGTAGACCAGAGAACTGGAATCTTATAAGAAGTCTTTAAAAAGTTAGAAGATCTAGAATTCGTTAATATTATCTGCCTTCTGAAGACAAAACAAAATGATAACTATCTCCCATCATTGTGTCCCAGAAATACATAGGAAGAAGAAGTAGAAATGTTAATTTTCAAAGATAAAACAAATTGATAAAACATTGACTACATTTTTTTTACATATTCTAGTTTATAATTTCATTTAGCCTAATCGTATTTTATTTATTTTTTAGTTAAAAAAATGAAAAAATCTAAAAAGAAATTTAGTACCTTGAAAAACTTAATAAAGAAGCATTATAAAATAAGATTCTCAATTATGCTGCCTTCTCTGCGTTAAATAATCCTTGAGAATTACAACACAATAGGCATTAAAAATAATTATACTATTTTTCTTTTTGTGGTAAAAAATAACAAAATATTTTAAGCGTCTACTTAGTCCCATTGTTAATCTATGGGGATTTCGAGATTAACCGGACTTTAATTAACTTTTCAAGAACATTTTGTATTTATTGTAAAAGGAAAGAAAGATTTTAATTAGTGTTGTATCTTATTTCTGGCATAACATTATTAAGGAATCTTATAAAGTTCTGCCAATAACAATATCAAAAAACATAATAATAACTTTTAGTATAGCTATAGTTACTATGTTTATCGCCAAATACGTATGGGTAATTCAACAAAAGTTGGGCAACTTTTGACCTCATTTTGTTTATATCGTTTTCGGAGAAAATTAAACAGTATTTTGTTATGGGAACATAGATAATATAATAAATATACTGTTCCAGACCGGGCCAGTCACTTTTTCAAACAGTTTCTGAAATATCTGTGTTTTCTAAATTTGAATGCAAGGGAAGTGACGAGATTTATTGCAACTTTGAGCATATAATACATTAAATATCTTAAAATCAAATAATACCACACATCAGTGGCGGCTGGTGGATTTTGGGTATACCGATATCTCAATTATTAGATATGGGACCCACACCA